GTGACCCCCAAAATATCCAGATTCTAAACCCTGGGACCGCACGTGGCAAAAGGCGCTTTACCGACAATATTGTGGGCCATGTCGGAAGGAGTGGGAGATGCCTGCACGGCTGCAAAATTCACGGGGTCGCTGCAGGAGCTCTGAGGCCCAGGCCGCTTCTGCCCCTCTGACCCTGGTGGCTTAAAGAGCTCTGATTTCTAACACTGTAGTTAAAACATGAAAGGCTATCTGAAACCTGAATATGCAAATGTCACCCAAAGTAGAGAGGATCCATTCTTAGCTTTAAAAACAACACAGGTCTAACTCTGACATAGAAAAATAGTTGTATCAGGAATCAGGGCAGGGCCGTTAGGGAAAAGAGAAGTTCTACGTTTGTTAAAAAATTATATAGACCTATTTCTGTCTGTATATATGTGCACGGTGCACGTGCAGACACACGCCTTGCACAGACCTGCATATGGATGCATTATCAATCGCTGTTACATGTACAGTCCTGCCTTGTTTTACTGTGCCTCACTTTTACGGCACTTTGCAGACACTATGTGTTTTACAAATTGAAGGTGTGTAGCAACCCTGCATCGGGCAAGTCTATCGGCGCCATTTCTCCAACAGCATTTGCTCAGTGTCTCTGTGTCACATTTTGGTAATTCTCACAACATTTTAAACTTTTTCATTATTATTATAATTTTATGGTAACTGTGGTTGGTGAACTTTGATGTTACTATTTCAGCTTGCTGAAGGCTTGCTTGATGATTAGCATTTTTTAGCAATAAAGTCCTTTTAAATTAGGGTACATAATGTCATTGCATACTTAATAGACTACAGTATAGCGTAAACGTAACTCCTAGATGCACTGGGAAATCAAAAAAATTGTGCAACTCGCTTTATTGCAATAGTCATTTTATTGCGGGGTCTGAAACTGAACTCACAACATCTCTGAGATGTGCCTGTACGTTTTATCTGTATTTTCAGCCAAAATAAAGGTAAATGTGCTCATGGGCACGTAGTGGGAGATTTCTTTGCTTATCTGTACTATTCTAATTTTCCCACAAGGAGCATGGATTATTTCAGAAAAGTGCAACATGACTACATGCCTTCGTAATTTCTCCAGCTCAGAACCCCTTTTCTGTATTTGTCAGTATTTTCCTAACTCCCCACTGTGCACATACATCGCTTTCAAACGGAAGACAGCCAGCAGTTAGGAGACCCGCCCCCAGAACCTGGAATTTGTCCTTACACTCAAGACTCAGGGCCTGTGAATGGAAGCATGGCCACAAGGCACATCATGCAGGGTGCTTTGGACCAAAAAGAAACACACACACACACACGTGGATGTGTGCATACATGTCCACACAAGAACAGACATACATGCACACATGTGCACAGAGAACATGTCAGCAGACAAAGCACACACACATACCCATGTACACACACATGCACATGCACACATACACACAACATACAGACACACAGGCACACACACACACTCCACCAGCATGATCTGGAGATGCAGAGAAGACAGTGAGCTGAGAAGCCCCTCCGAGTCACCCAGCCGCGAGGCCATGCCCACTGTGAGAAGCCGACCTGGCCTTAGCTGGGCCAGAGCTTGAGCCACTGTGAGATGGTTCCCTAAGACCAGCTCTGCAGTGACACTCAGCCTGAGGCCACGTGGGAGCAACCTGGATGGGGAGGTGCCTGCAGGAGGTGCATTTCTGCAGAGCCGCAGCCTGACAAGAAACTTGGTCTTTAGTTCTGGTGCCTTCTGGGACTCGGGGGAGGGGATGGCCAGAGACACTGCCTTTTTAAACACTGTGCACTTGAACACCCACATTGCACAGGGAACCGGCTTTGGCTGTTGGACTAGGTTTAGAGGAAGAGGGCAGTGCCTGCCTAGATCTGGACGTGTCACTGGGGACACCCAACCCAGTGACATGCGGCAGGATGAGCCTGGGGACAAGGCTTGCGTGGGGCCTCAGACAGAAGGGACATGCTCTCGTCCACTCTGCCCCTCAACATCAGGCTGCCCTCGGGAAGAGTAGGTTCCCCGAGTGCAGACATGAAACCGCTCTGCTGAGGGGCAGGTCCCCACAGGCCCAGCTGTGGGGTCCCTGAGGGCCTGTGTCTGCCAGCAAGGGATGCTGGTGTCCCCAGCACCGAGCCTCCCCGCCTTCCCACCACCGAGGAGGTTCCCCAGTGTGACTGTGGAGGACCCTGCCACTGTGGGACGGGCCTGGGGGCCTGAAGCAGTTCCCGGGCCACTGTCCCAAGGGAGTCAAGTGGCTGAGAGCAGCACCCAGGTGACCCGGGGCCACACGGACCCACCCCTGCAGGTCTGTCTGCAAAAGTCCCCTTCACTGGCAACTTCCCTGCCCACTGCCCGAGGCCCAGGCAGGAGTCACCAGTGGCCACATGTGTGGGGTCACAAGTGGACAGAGCCACTCAAAGGCTTGTGAGCCAACTCCACAGGGGATCAGGCAGCAGCGTAACACTCAGCAGCTTCTCACAGCTTGCTTAAATTCTCAAAAAAAGGAAAAAAATGAGATTTTGCTTGTCCTCCTCACTAACTTCATTCCTCGCCTCTGAGCAAAGATAACAAGCCGCCAGGCCTGGAACGTGCCACGTGCTTTCTCTCCACGGCTACTGATGAGTTAGAAGACGGCACCCTGGGGAGACCGGGTCACCGGGCGCTGCCCAAAGCCCAGGACACACTCAGAATGTGGGTTTGGCTGATGGCCCATCCCAATACCATCCAACACAGTGCCAACGCCTCCTACATCCGAGGGGGCATGCTAGACTCCCAATCTTTTCTGCGTTTAAACATCTTGAAGCAAGTTGTTAAAACAATTCCCATTCTGGAGGCTCTACAGTTAATGTTTTAAATCTCCAAACGCCACATACATCAAACCCAAATTGTTAGCCGACAAAGAAGTAACCCTATATACCAGCAATTGGCAAGCTGCCGTTTGTAAATGAACTTTGGTGCCCACGCAGCGGCAGCTTTCAAGCTATAAGGCAACAGCTGAGTAGTTGCAACAGAAACCATGGCCGGAGAAGCCGAAGAGTTTGGCCCTTTGAGGAAAACACTGGTCGGGCCCTGCTGTCCACAGGAACAGCCTCGGGGTAACAGTTTAGCGTTGCTGGGGACCACCGGAGAGGTGCAGCCAGGAAGGCCGTGCCCGTGGAGGAGGCCCCCACTGCCCGCCCCCGACCTGGACAGGTGTCCCACTCACCTGTGGCATGGCAGAAGAGGTGGAAGGTCCCCAAGGCATGCACGTGCTGGGCCTGGTCGCTGAGGAAGGGCGGCAGCAAGGTGACCTGCAGGCGGCTGTCAGGCCCCGGGCCCGAGGCCGGCCAGGGGCTTCGGGGAGAGGAAGATGAGTCAGGGACCAGACAGGACAGGGAAGAGGACCCCGGAGGAGGAAAGGGCAGAGGAGATGAGGCTGCGAGACAGAGGACAGAAAAGAGAGAGGGCTCTGAGGCAGAAGTCGTCAGGAACACACCGCATGCCAGAGAGGGGGAACAAAGTGCGAGAAAGAAAGGGGCCCAGGCCGCGCGGGGAGGCGGCGGGAGAGCCACAGGGAACCACGCGCCCGCGTCAAGGATATAAGCTTCTGTTTATTCGGTTACTTTCCGAACGTATACAATTCAAAGTAGAAAAATAAAAACAAAGTAAATCTTATAAAACACAAATGTTTACACCAAAACGGTCGAATCCTATCATGCTGGAAGATGACACTGTCCACACAGGCCACACACACACACTCAGAGTTTATTGCTCTTTGCCACGGAAAGAAAGGCTCCTCTATGTGGGTGTCTGGAAAGCAGGAAATGGAGCGTGACGTCAGTGATGGTTAGACTGTGCCGCCCACTTGCACCTTGAAAGAGGGCGCCAGGCCTGGCAGGTCCGTGGCGGCGGCATCTGTGGGAGAGGCGCTGTGCTCACCAGCCTGTCTGTCCCTGGCCGCCCTGCTCTCTTCCAGTTGTGGACAGCCCGGTTAGGCCAAGTGGAGAGTCTGGGCGGGCAGAGGGCATGAGATGGAAGCAAAAAGAAAAAGGAGATGTTCAGATGACCAAGACGTCCCGGTGAACGTTCTGTCTGGGCAGGAGGTTTTGACCAGTGGCTGTGGGCACTGGATTGTAACTCACTCGTCCCCTCAACTCTGGGCCGGCCCGGCTCCACCCAGAGCATGCTGGGGGCCACATCCCTCCCTCCAAACCCTGCCTGGTGTTGTGGGACAGTCCTCCACAGCCTTCTCCTCAAAGAGTTAAAACAAGAGTAAAAAAAATGGTACAGAAAAAAAGTCTCTCTGAAAACGATGCTTCCCTTAAGGAACAAAATTTAAAAAAAAAAAAAAAAGGACATGTGCTCAAGATATGGTTTTGTCTACATTTCTAAAAGCAGAAAAGAATGCATTTAGCAAAAGTAAGATTATCCCTGAGAATCTTAAGCAACATAAGCCATACCTTTACCCTAATATACAACAAAATTCAGAAGATGTACATCTTCCAAATATTAAAACATCTGCTTTAGTAATTTAAAAAATGAACGACCCAACATGCCAACATAATTAAAGCAAAAATCCTAAAAAGTAATTATGTGGAAGAAAAGGTTCGTGCCAACCTGGACAACAAGCGATAAGTTACCAATCTGATAAATTAAAATGTCATTTCCAATCTGGAATTAAATTCTCTTTCAGTGGCTGCTACAAGGAGGGGACGCTCACGGCCCAACTCTTCCTGGGCCAGTGGCGGCCCGGCCGTCTTCCCGCCACAGAGCGGCCTTGGGCAAGCTTGCAGGCATGACTCCAAGGGCCCCACCGACCAGCAGGCCGGCCGCGATGCTCGCCGTTTTCCGAAAGGACAAAGAGAAACCAAGTCACAAGCGCGACCCAAGAGAAAAGACACAGAAGACTGAGGTTTGCTGACGACGGCTACCTACGCAGCACTGGACGGGGGACTGAACTGGCAACACAAAGACCTCCCGGGGAGCAGCGGGCGCCTCAGTCCCCGTCCGCGTCCGAGTCGGCGAACTTCAGCTCGCACTTGACGTCAAATGGCCGGTCTCTGACTGGGAGCTCGTCGATCTTCTGCGAGTCCTCCCGGTCAGTGGGCAGCCTGCTGGCCATGGTGTCCTGCTCTGTCTCATAGCCAGTGTCCAGGGCCGGCTTGGGCTGCCCCCCGTTCTGCTGGGAGAAGCTGCCCTGCTCCACCAGAGTCTCCTTCACACTCTGCTCGCAATCCGAGAAGTCCGACGTGGGCTGCTTCTTCCCGAGGAGCATGGCCGAGCGGAACTTTAAACACTGTCCGGGCAGGTAGCCCTTATAGCAGTTGTAGGTGAAGAGGCAGAGGAAGAGGACGAAGAAGAAGAGGAAGAGACACATGAGGAGACGGTTGTCACTGGACTTGAGATACATTGTCTTCTCCGAGTGGACCTGGGGGACCGTGTTGATGACAATCTTTGGTTCACAGGACATGCTGGTGGGCCCCTCGGGGCTGGAGGGCAGGGCGATGGCACTGGGAGTGGTGACCTGCACGGCTGGGGTCTGGGGAAAGGAGCCTTGGGTGGGCCCTGCTGACACTTTGGAGGTGATCCTACTACCTTCTGTCCATGTGACCGGTGAGGTGGAGGCCACCGGAGTTCGAGGGACCACCTTGACCTCCAGAACGTGCTTGGCCACCACCTGCAGGACTGTCTTGTTCTTGACCCTCTCCTCAGACAGGCACTGGTACACACCACTGTCTCCTTCTGACAGGTTGAAGATGAGCAAGTTCTTCCTGCCCACCAGGCTGTACTTGGGGCTTTCGGCCTTGAGCACGCCATTCTGGAACTTCCACACCACCCGGGCCAGGTTGGACTTTTGGGAGCATTTGAGTTCTGCTGTGCCACCATGCTTGAAAAAATGCTGCAGGTAACTTTCTTTAATTTTATCTGGAACATCAAAATAAACGTGCACAGCATCAACAACCCTGCTCGATACTTCTTTCAAAACTAGGTTAACACGCACAAGAGGACACAAGAGTTTCACCCTGTGGAGCAACATGGAATCTTCCAGAACAGCAAGGAGATAAAGACATGCGTGACGGAAGAGCAAAGATTAAGACCCCAATGGCAGCCCTTGGGGACAAAGAAATTGAAGCCAACTGTGAGCAGAAGAAATCCTGTTTCGCACCCTGATTTCCCAGGAGAAAACTCCCCAGGCCGGGGAGGCTGGGCAGCGGTCAGCTGTGCCTTCTGGTGGCGGCGCTGAATCAAACAACGGGCTTCTGCTAGCGGCTGCCGGGTGTGCTAGCCGTTCGGTGGGCCTTGGCACCCTCCTCCTAAACTTGTCTTAACTGATGACAGCTAGCGAGCGGGTTAGGGATGGGAGGGCAGGGGCCCAGGGCACGCCTGCCTTCAGCTGGGACAGGCCTGACCTCCTGGCAGGGGTGGGATCCCCCGAGGGGAACGGGGACTAATCTCTCATGAGTTCCTCCCTCCTGTTCACAAGAGGTGTAGGTTTTGTTTAACGCGCCCCAAGCTAAGCAGAAGAGAGAGGATGCATCCCAAGAGCAGACGTCACAGTTTGGGATGGAGAGTGCCTTCCAGTAAACAAATACACTCTGCGTGGCTTCAACATCCTGTTCTGTGATAAAAGGGACAGAGAAACATCACGGGGTCTGCCACGAGATTACTTGACCTCTGTTCCGAGTAGAGAAAGAAAAACAAAATGTACGAAATGCCACACCAGCAAAGCATCATGAAATGGTTACGTGACCTGGCCGTCCCTGAAGAGAAGGCAGCGAGGACGAGCAACTTACCAGGGCAAGCAGACGCATCCCCACTCATTTCCTGAATCAAACCCCTGCAAGACAACCGGGCACAGGTTACACAGTGCATGCGCTTGACGCCATGGTCCTGGGCGGAGCGCCTGCATGCAGTGGGGCTGGTACCTGCTGGGGCCGTCGGTCTGGTACAGGGCGATGCAGGCGGCCGCAGCCGGGCTCCAGGCACAGTAGGGATCCCGGGCCAGCACGCAGTCCTCGCAGGTGCCGTGTTTTCCACAGAAGGCCACGGGGGCCTGCACCACGCCCGAGTTGGAACCGGCATAGACAAACCTTCTGCCCTGTGGGTGTGAAACAGATGAGAACGGTGGGCACTGGGTGGGGGCAGCCCTCAACGCGCCAGGTACTTCTCTAGCTCATGGGGAGTGATGACAAAGCTTCGTCCCGAGCTTCTGGAGGAGGAAGCAGAACGAGGCCAGGTTAGATCCAAGACAAATCTGCACTGCAGCGTCGTGACAGACGGGTGGATTTCGGGTGGAATCCACGGGCTAACTCAGAGTGTGCTGGGCCTTGGTCCAAATCCCTCCCCTCCCCCATCCGAGCACCCACCTTCATCCTACCCGCCAGCAGTGCATCTCCTCTGCCCCCTCTGTGTGCAAGAAGACCCACTAGCCTGACACTCCCAACTGCCCTCCCAGCCTCACTAGACCAGAGGCCAAAGGGCACAGCCTCCAAAGCCCATTTCGTGCCTGCAACACGTGAGCACCAGCACACAGACGGCCCATGTCAGTGTGTGAATGCAGCGGGGCCGCAGTGAACACAGGTGGAGAGTGAACAGAGCTCTAGAAAACAAGTGAGGAGGTATTCGTTTCTCACGCATCTACGTTTACGAGAAATGAACGTGGCTGGGGAAATGGAGAGCCACGCTCAGAAGCAGAGAGCAAAGCAGGCTCCTCCGTGTTCTGGAATGCTGGGCCTGGGACGTCTCCACCCTCAGGCTGATGCCGCCGGCGCCCAGAGCACTGGTAGGGAGCCGGGCGCACGGGCAGTTGGGGCAGGCTGATTTTCTCACGGGACTCAGCTAGAACGAGGGCTCCCCCAAGGAGTCCACCTGAAGCCCAGCAGCAGACCCAGGGCTGGCAATTCACATACGGCATTTTCTCTCTCCTTTGCTGATAAGCCTCTGTCTTACCCTAACGCTCTAGAAAAGCCGTTGGTTAATGTCAAAAGATTCCCAAGTTTCCACCGAGCTTACTTAGTATTTAAAACACAGCCTCTATCCTCTGAGGACATGTTCTGAATTAATTTCAGAGTCTGGCTGGAGTGCAAAGGCCCTGGCATTACACCAGATCTCCTGGCCTGTGATGCCTTGAAGACCCAGGGGTCACAGACCCACCGTGTGTGAGCACTGCCGAGAGAGCGCAGTCCCCTGCGCAACAGAGTCAAACTGTGATGGCAGGTGGCAGAGAGTCAAGCCCAGTGCCGGCCTGTCCATGTCGGCAGAGACCCGGGCAGACAAGGCCAGGTGAGCCCATATTCGTAAGAAGGAATCAGGATGACACCCTGTATCACAGTTGGGATCACGTGGCTCAGAGGTGAGGAAAAATTTCCTAGGGAGACTGGCCAAGTGGGCAACTTCAGTGGGGTCCTACGGAGGGGCACTGGAGAGGGCTCGGACACTCATGCAGAGCGAAGCAGCTGGCGTGGGGAGCCCCACGTGACCCCTGCACCCTCCTCACACCACAACCTGCTCAGCCTCCAGCCCTCGCTCCCCAACAGGGCAGGGCCTCCCCGATTCCAACGAATGTGGACGGGAAGGGAACAGAAAAGTGGCTTGAGATCCCACGGCAGCAAGCGCTGCAGGCAAGGCCCATGGGTGGACATGCAAGTCAGTGGGTGAGAGGCAGCCGGGTGTCTGAATAGCCTCAAGTAAGTGTCAGCCGCTGCGGGGGTTGAACACGGCCCCCAAACTCTTCAACTCCTTCCAGGAGCTAGGGCTTAGCTCCCCGCCGCTCCCCACAACAGGTGGACTGGATCCACTGACCACAGGGTGTGGGGACAACGTGGAAGGAGAAACCGACTAACTCTGAGAAGTCATTGAATCCATGTCCCCGAGACAGTGGTCATCTCCCCAAATGCTCAACCCCAATTTCAATGTGAGAAAACATCAGATATGCCCAAACCGAGGGGCGTTCCACAAAACACCGATCAGTTCTCTCCAGATGTGTGAAGGTCACCAAGATGAGGGCAGACGGGAGCCATCAGACAGACACCGAGGGAGGCCACAGGGGGCCCTGGAGTCAAAAAGCAGGTCGTGGGAACGCGGGGATTGGGCGTGTGGAAGTGAGTGCAGGCGCTGTGCCAGCAGGCCTCCTCGGTTAGGCAGGCGCGCTGGGGAAGGGCCACAGGACCCCTGTAGTATTCACCCCAGCTCTTCCGTGAGAGAAAACAAGCCAGCCGGGTACCACCCGGCACCTGTGAGATCTGCTGAGCGTGCACGTGCCCAGGTGCCCTCCTGCTGGCCCCTTGCGGGTCCCCACCCTCTGGGTGACTGTGCCCTCAGCTGCAGCACCAGGCTCTCTCAGTCACATCTTGGTCTCTGTGTACACAGGTGGGTGATTGTGGGTGGACATGGCCAGAGCTGGAGGAGCTCCCACCTTTGCTGTACAGGTGGCACCTGACCATCAAAGAGCGTCCCCGGGAAAACCACACTCAGCCTGCTCCATGGGCCCAGAGCATGCCTGCCATGTACGCACAAGAGACTGGAGAACACGGCTGTTCAGGCAGCAGGGGGAGAGGCAACCCAAATGTCCACCAGTGGGTGAATAAACCAGAAGTGGTGGATGTGTGGGATGGAATACTACTCAGCCCTGAAAAGGAAGGACGGACATGGATGAACCTTTAAGACATTATGCTGAGTGAAATAAGCTACTCAAAAGGACAAATGTTGTAGGATTCCACTTATATCAACATGAGGTTCTTAGAGTAGTCAAACACACACAGACGGGAAGGAGAATGGTGGGTGCCAGGGGCTGGGGAATGGGAAGAAGGGGGGAGTCAGTGTTTAATGGGTTTGGGGTTTCAGTTTTGTAAGATGAAGTTCTGGAGATGGGTGAGGATGAGGGTTGCGCTATGTGAATGTACTTAATGGTGCTAAAGTGTACACTCAAAAATAATTAACGTGGTACAATTTATATGATGTACACTTACCACAATAAAAACAAAAAACAAATGCACTTGTCAGGGGAGAGCAGGTGGTGACCAGGGACCCCCCTCCCTGGTAGCACTTCCTGTGCTTCCCCCAGCCCTGTGGCAGCTGCTCGTCAGTTTTCTGCATTGAGAGCCAGGCATGATCGACCCAGAAGAGGCTGCTGGTGGGGAATGGGGAGGGGGGAGCAGGTGTCTTTTTACCCCGAACAGCCGCTTCCTGCTGCCACGGCAGCACAGACAGCATTCTGAAGCCACCCTGAGCCCACTAGCCCAGTAGAAGGTGTGGGACCCCATGGGCACCTGAACCACATCCCAGCACAGTGGAGGCTCCTGTGGGAACAGGCAATTCACTCCCTGCATGGCTAGCCCCCGGCCACATGACCAATCCTGACCTCAGGCAGGTGAGCACAGGACTCACCTGTCAGACTTCCCACAGGTGGTACTGCCCCCTCCCTCCCTTCTCCCTCCCCCATCCCTCCCATGGGATCAGCACCCACATGCCCTGGAAGACTTGGGTTCAGGATGGCAGGGCCAGCTGGGTCCGTGAATGATGTCGTGGAGCAGAGCCGAGCCCTGTCTGCACTGGGGGCCTGGCCTTGGTTCTGATGAGTACTAGACCATCTGGAGGCTTTCAGGGTGCTTGCCCCAGCCGGGCTGAAGCACCTGGGCAACGTGGCAGTGGCCAGAAGGGCTCCTGGGTTTCCCTGTTTCAACAATGATGCAGGTGGGCCTGGGGGAAAGGGGGCCAAAAGCACCCACCCGAGAGGTACAGATGTCTGGTAGCCTAACCCCATCAGGCTACTTCGTCTTCTTTCCCTTTCAGAACTGGAGCGAGAAAACACACACTGCAGCGGCCAAGAGGGGAAGTGACCCTGCTACAGGAGTCTGAAAACCAGATCCAACTCCTCAAGCTTGTGATGCTGGGGAGAGAACGAAAGACTGTGTGTGGAGTTTGCAAATACGCATCTGACCGAGAGGGCGCCTTCTTTTCTTTCTCGCCTGGCTATCGGGACCCCCTTCCTACTGCCCACAGCCCAGGGAGGAGTGAGCCTGGGCCCCACGAGCCGGGTGGAGGCCCCTACCCGGAGCCAGGGCAGGAAGGATGCTCTGAGGGGCTGGAGGAACAACCTCTTTCCAACGTGAAGAGAAGATGGCCCAGGAGTGTCACGGGTCAAAAGGGAAAATCTCAGCAACAGGGCGACGCCATACGAAGCAAGGACAACCTGGCTTGGTGCTCCCAAGCAAGGCTTTACAAACAGGGTGCAGGTGGGAGAGGCCAAGCGATGGGTGGGCCTGCAGTGGAGGGGAATTCGATGCACGGCCAGGCTACCAATTTCTGATGCTAACCAGAGCCTGTCAGCCCAGGGGTCACAGCATGGGGAGTCACAGGGCAGGGCTGGGACAGTCCCAGGGTCTGCCGTCCCTCACCGTATAGATGAGGAAACCGAGGCAGGACTGGTCCACCCAGGCTCACAGTCACGTACCTGGAGCCAGGACGTGGACGAGGTCACCCGGTGCCCGGCCTGAGCTCTGCTCTTCACTCCCCACCCCGGCTGTAAACTGGGTGACACACTTCCCAAAGGCCACTTCAGATGTACAGCAGGGGACAGCCTGTGGACCACAAGGCAAATCCAGCCCGCTGGCTGTTTCTACACAGCCCATCAACTAATAGCAGGTCTCACATTTTCAAACGGTTGAAGAAAACCCAAAATAATAATATTTTGTGACATATGAAAATTCCACAAACTGCAAAGCTCAGTGCCCGTAAATGAGGCTTTGGTAGAACATAACAGGGCTCACTTGCTTCCAGACTGCCCAAGGCTGCTCTCAAACTGCAACAGCATGGGCATCAGAGCCTACAACATTCACTCTTGGCCCTTTACGGACAAAGCAGGCTGGCCCTGGTGAAAGAGACAGCGCCTCATGAAACGGGGCTTTACAGACACGGCGCGTCATTACTCAGAGGACGCTTTTCTGTGCAGATGAGGAAGGTGCACGGAGGGCACCCCCGCCGACTGGATCTTACCCTCACCAAGTTCTGGCACAAGAAGTGTTTTCACAGGCCAGTGAGCCCCCCAACGGCATCATACGTTGGTCCCAACAACTCAGTGAGGTTCTGCAACTTTTAGGACACAGTTTGCCTTCCCTCCACCCCATACCCCACAGCTCATGGAAGGACTTTCTATAAGAGCCTGAAGGTCGGCTCCTCTAGGCCAGATGGACGACGGGGCCTGCCTGGTGCAGCCCGGCCCAGCCTGTGGGCACCGAGACGTGGGGCCACCCAGCCGGCCACCCAGTCACTTTACCTTCTTGGAGGACAGCAGCAGGGTCTGGACAGGCTCGAAGTCCTGGAAGAGCTGTGTCTCCTCGATGATGTGGACGTTGTTCTCAAGGCTGATGGCTTTGTGCAGGGCACCCCGGTCTGCAAGGTCAAAGCTGCAGGTTACTCCCCAGGAGGAGAGGACAGTGCTGGCACTGTCAGCCACGCAGCCAACGGTCACCCTTCTGCCTCCCACTCCTTCCCCCAGTAGGAGGCTTAGAAACAGATGTTTTTGCATTAGACACGGAAAAGGAAAAGCCATCAGCAAAATAAACAACTGGACTGACATGGGTTATCCCATTTTTATCTGAAAAATAAACAGCCCTTTGTTGACTTCAATACCCCTCATCAGAGTAGTCGACACTGTCCTCCAAACAAACGTACATGGTTCTCGGGCTGCACTGGCCTCTGAGGGTGCCATCCTTGTGCTAGGAGCCCCAGGCAGGGGAGACTGGTGGCTGGGCAGCACCCAGAGCTGACCACAGAGCCCGCCAGCTGCTGCTGTGCCTGGCTACCAAGACCATTCCAGAAGATTTGTGTTGGAGTCTACGGACCACCAGGAAAGGTGTGTCTCCCACGGCAGGTCAGGACAGGTGTCAGGCAGGGAGGCAGGACGTGCCCATGTGCCGGCTCTCAGCAGCCTCCCTTTGCACCGCCCAGACCTACCACACCTGAATTTCTAGATCTGGGCCAGGACTCGCATTTTTAACCAGCGCCCCAGGTGTTCTGATGGTCACAGAGATCTGAAGCCAACCAGGTGTGGTGACTTCTCAGAAACGCTTCCACGCCCTAACAAACCACTCAGGCACCTGGGGGAGATGCTGGCTCCAGGCGGCAGAAATTAGCTGGACTCACCCACGTTCTTACCCAGGGCCCGGGACCCACCTGTGCTGACAAACATGACGTCATGGACCGTCCCATCCAGGGCCCGGGTCCTGTCCACCACGATCTGCGTGTAGTTCACGTCACTCTTGATCAGCCGGGGCCTGTTGTCTATTGGGGTCACGGAGTCATCCATCAGAGGGTGGTCTTTGACAAACTGCAGAGTCTTGTCTGGTAGGTTGAGGGAGCTGGAGAAGTTGGCCGCACGCGCCTCTCGGTTGATGCACTGAAGGGAGCAGACCACCCGTTACTGCGGGGTGCACGGGCACATGGCGCGCGCTCCGCATAAGAGGGGAGGCTTCCCCGAGGTGACGAACTTAGGACTACACAGTGGATTTCTTGAAAAAATGGAAACACTGAGGTGATCTTTCCCCAGGAATCTGAAGACACAGTTATAAAGCAGGGAGGAAATGCAACTGTCTTTTTGTCCACAAGACACAATTATGTCTCATGATACATAGTCAATGAAGTAATTTTCATCCATTCATAAATGAAAAAAGCATATCACACTTTTGAAATTGAAAAATACACACTTATCATTCCACAGCTCTCCCAGAAGGGAAACCTCGAAAAATGGTTAAAAATAGTCCAATTCTAAATATAAATAGCATAAAGGTCAAGAGCACAAAGGATTCTTTTTTCTGTCCTAGTTCCTGATGTGCGTAAACCAAAATTCACAACCACAGGTGAACACCTTTTGCTTAAAGATATGCATGAAAGGAACTGACCTGTGTCAGCAGAGACGTACCCCAGAGAGGGGGACCATCCTGGGGGAGTGAGCTCCAAGCAACAGGCCACTCTCCCAGGTCACAACCCCACCCACGGGCCATGTACATGGCCCAGCTCACCAGTCACGTAATAAATGGATGCAGCCACATCGGCCTAGACACCCACACTGATTTCTACATAAAATTCACTACTTTTAGGAGAAAAAAAAATGTGACTCATATTAACAAATGGAGAGTATCGCTCTTCCCTTTGCTAAGAAATTGTGTGTTTCTCTGCAAGAAACAGAAAATGAAAAAGCTCTAATTTTATTACGCAATGTTAATCCCACAGAACAGCTGGTGCCAGCCTGAAGAGCTTTCTTGTTCGGGCAGTTTGTAGCCACAGCTGTTACACAACACACGGACGAGAAGAAGCCAGGAAAAGGAGAGTGTGCCCACGGCCCTTCCCAGTCCCGGGTGCACGCCTGGTCCCCGTGGGGAGAGCCCGGTTCACTTACCGCGCCGGGCCGCGGGGTGGGCACGGCCCCGTTGTAGCGCACCCACTTGGTGTGCGACTGCTCCACCGTGGCGCTCTGCATGTACTTCCCACGGGAGAAGACTGCCTCGGCTGTGGACAGGTTGTAGGCGCACACGGCTGAGAGCCCCACGTTGTTCCTGGGGAGGAGGGGGCGGCGTGACTGCCCCGAATCGGGGAGCGCAGCGAAAACACCCCCAACCCACCCACCTGGGCACTCACAGCTGTGGGGTGAAGACCCCATAGAACATGGGCTCCTTCAGGCCGGGAGACCTGAGGACAAAGACGTCTCGCAGCACGTTGAAGACGAGGTTGCTGTCCGGCCGGGAGCAGATCAGCCTGGCCTTCAGGAAGGAGGTCCACTTCTTCTGTAAGGTCCTCAGGCCACCCTGATCCCCCTGTAACCCCAAAGACACGCGTGGTAGGAGGAGGGCAGACTTCCCCCGTGAGCAGGTGATAAGTGATGTACTTGGGCCCAGAGCAGCTCTGCCTGAATGAAAGGAAGCCAAGGCTGAAAAGGAAAGCTGGCTGCAGACTACTAGTGACGCCAGCAACTCCCTTCATGCCAGCTCGGGTCATCGATTGAAGCACAAAACCAAACCAACAAAACCCTCTCGACGACCAGTCTCCCAAACTGCAGCTAGAACAACTGTTCGACTCTGCCCACACTCTGTGTCATGCAGCAGACCCCCGCCATCCTTGCACACGTTCACTGCTTTGGCCCTTTGGCTCATGCATCTCCAGGCTCACGACCCGTCTGTGAGTGACTGGCAGAGCCAGGGGCTGGTGGACGCACAGGCTCCCCAATCTGTCTCAGGCCAATGTGTGTACGCGTGGTCTCCCCCAAAAGGCGCTCCTTGTGGGAGATCAAATCTTCACTTCCTTCCAGCCCCCAAGTTATCTGCTGAGGTGCTCTGGTCCTGCCAGGTCCTCCAAAACACTTTTTAGTGAACTGCCCACCAAGCAGCAATCGTGAAACACCCCTGACATGACTTGGTATGGAGAGAAATACCAAAACTCTTACAACTGGATGCAGAAGAACATGAAATCGACGTATCCTCACTTATTCTGGACACAGTGAAAATGCACCCCTCCCCATCTTTATGTTGGAATGGAAAAACTCCAATTCCAACAGAATTTGGTTAACACAGTACAGAAAAACTAACTTTTTATAAACTGGGGGAGGTTTGAGGGAGGTGTGTTAAGATCAGAGCCCTGAAGACAGTCATCGTCACACACAGGGCAGGCGCCCCTGTGGTCTCCAGGGAGGCCTGCAGGGAGGACAGAGGCCCAAGCCCTTGGCCCGTCCACACTGACATCTGTAGCGTGGAAGAATAAAGTGGTCAGGAAATGGACATCTCGGAGGAAGTGTGGAGCCTGGGCGACACACGCTCACTGAGAGCTGGGACCAAAGAGAAGGGCGGGGCTGGGCTCACCTTGCAGACCCTCGCTACCCGTGGGATCATCAGCTTGAAGACGAACTCATACTCCACAGACACCTCCGTGAAGAAAAAGTAGACCTTGTCGTCCCCGCCGTCCCCGCCCTCCGGGCTCTCTGCTATCACGTCAGCAAACACGAAGCTGGGCTCTGCGGGGAACAGACGCTCTGGTTACGCCTGCGCACCGAGGGCCTGGGCACACCCTATCGAGGATGTGGGAGGGTGCCCATGCCACACCCCAAACACACGCCAGGGCCCGGGAATGGTGACAGTGCCCATCTTGCCCTCCTTGGCCTAAGGAGATGCCCGAGATGGGGGTTCTGAAGCACAGCCTCCCGGCCCAGCCCAACAACTGAGGGCTGGGCCTCCCAACTGGCAGGCAGCCTGGGGGCCCCAGGGAGCTAGATCCCACCATAGCCTGGAGACCCACTGGAAGATATGCATTTGCCAGTTTAAATAGCACGTGCCTAAAAGAGACAAATTGCTGACCACCAGATCCAGGTGCCCCAAGGCTCTGGCTGACTGGCCGATGCCCACGAGAAAAGTCCCCTATGAGCATCTCTGTGAGCCATCTGGACCGTGAATACAACACGGACACGTCATGTCCAGAGATAAATGGTATAATATCACACGCTGATGTAACGAGCCTGAACTCGCCATTCTGAGCCTCCCAGATCCATTTTCCAGAAGGGGTAAAGGCAGGCTTTAAATAGCGCTCTCTTAGCAGAGAAGAAAGCAAAGAAGCCCGTGGATGCTGGCTGTGGAGCCCCCAGCAGTTCCAGAAGCGCCCCTACTGCACTGGGGCTGATGTGAGCCCCGGGACACAGGAGGGTGAGCTGCAGATGCCCTCCCGTGAGGCTGGGAGCCGGCAAAAGGAGAACTGGAGTGAGGGCTCTGCCGGCGAGGAAGCCACCCCGAGCAGAAACACACCTTCCATGATGCCACCTGCTTCTTACCGTTAAGCCAAGGAATTGCATACTCCGTTCTCAGAGGACTGTGGGAAGAATTTCGGGAGATGATGGGTTCGCTTCCCAAAAAGTTATATGACGTCCCAGAATAAAGCTCTCCATCTTTGGGCGGAAAGAGGAAAAGGGAATCAACACTAGTGCCGGGGACAGACGCTCAGCACCACGTTCTCCTCCCAAGCTAACACAAGTCCTCCCAGGAAACGGAGAGCCTATGGCCCTGCTTCTGGGCGCATGTTTCTGCTTCCTGAGTCTTCTGTTTTGTTTCTTCGACATGGGTAATTTTAGCCTCCATGTTAAACTGTTAGGGGCAGTAAGTAACACAATGCAAGTAACTCCTGCATCCAGTAAAATAACAAACACAACAGTGGGTGCACACAAGGCTCCTGGCCTGCTCGCCTTGGGTGTACAAGGCCGTTCCAAGGCAGGTCATGGCTCAGTCACAAACGTCCCTCGAACAGGAGCATTAACTCAACGTGGCTGAGTAATCCAGATGATTTGCACAAATGACAGATATAAGATAATCTCTTCCTACAAATCTAACCTGAGGACTATGGAGGTGGCTGGTTATCCTACTGAACAATGAATTCAAAAGCTTGTATCAGCGGGTCTGTGGAGAGGCTCCCGTACCTTCTGTGAGGATACTGAATATGGGAACAAAGCAGAGGGAGACCCCTGTGGAGGAGGAGGAACGGGACCTCCTGGGGGTCCAGCAGAGCTAAGCCAGGGACAGACCCGGAGAGCAGGACTCACCAACCATGACGGACGTGTAGCTTTGTGCTGGGTCAAAGGGACACCTTCCTTTGCCGTCTTCATTTTTGCCCAGAAATTTAAAGGATGTTAAGTTCTATAGTTGAATGAAAAGAAAGAGTGCCATAAAATGTCTGAACTTCTGTAGTCATAATATATCTTTGTGGGACCATTTAATTTACAGACTCACTCTTCTGGGGGGACAGAGGAGAGAGCACATGCACGGTCTACCACCTGGTCCCAGGTCTGGACACTGGTGCCTTGGCACCCTCTGACACCCTCGAGAGCGCCTCCAGATCTTGGAGCCTCAGTTGACTCTTCTATAGGACAGAGACGGCAATGCTGACAGTTCTAGGGTCGTAGAACAGCCAGGGAGAACCAAACACAGGATGTGCTCCGGAAGGGACTGGAAGGCCACGTGCAGAACTTTAATATCAACAAAGCAGCGGGGGACCAGGCTATCCAATAAACAGATAACAGGAAAAAAGGAGCAGAATCTCTACCTCATTCCACCCATCGAAACACACTCCAGGTGGATCGATGATTTAAATATTAAAAACGGAACCGTGCTGCACTAACAGAAAGTATGGGTGACAATTTCAGTCTTGGGATAATCTCTCCTCACCTGACAAGACAGCCCAAAGCCAAGTAAGGGAAAAAATGGACAGATCCAGTACACAAAGCACTGGGAAGCGTCTGTCCACAGAAGAATGAGACAGAGATCGACAGTGACAAAGTGGGGGAAATGCCTGCAAAATGACAGATCAGGCATTTCCATCTCTGAATATATAAGAAGTTTGTACAAATGAGTAATAAAGCATTTCAAGAAGGAAAACAGTCAAAGCACAGCAAGTTAGAGAAGAAGAAAGCTATCCAGCAGCACAGACAAGAAAGGATGCCTGAGCTGCCAGCAACCCAGGAAGCACAAGGCAATGAAAGTGCGGTACCATTTTCCACCTGAAAGCCTGGCGAAGCTTAAGAAGACGGACACCCAAACTGCGATGGGTGGATGGGCAGCCCTGCTGTCTGTCAGAGCAAGGGAAACATGTCACAGATGGAGCAGAGAGGGCTCAGGGGCATGGGAAGAGATGCAGTTACATTTCTAACAGGCTGGTGGAAACAATATACAGACTTTTCACCTCTTAGGTTAGGAGGTGTGAACTGGGGTGACAGTGCACCCCACTTGATGTGATTCACTGACTGCCTTTCAAGAAGATGTTTGGGGAAATCTGAACAGGGACTGGAGGTTAGATGACATTAGAGAATTATTGTATATCTCCTTAGATATAATGACAAATCTGGCATTATTGTAGGAAAATGTCATTATTCTGAGGCATGTGACAGCATTTAGGGGTCATGGGTGTGCTCACACCTGTGCACACATACGGACGCTCGCAACCATGCAATCTGTGTGGTTAGAACACGTGTGTGTGATCAACTTTTCTGTCGGCTTGAAATTTTTTTTAAATATTGGGAAAAAATACAGGTCTAGATTTAAATGAAACATATGATTCCCTTACCTCAACAACTGACATGCCCATGGAATTTAAGTTTAAATTCCATACCTTAAGCTTCTAACTAGAGTTTAGCCAGGAAATCCTTTCACGTGCAAAATGTTTCTAATATGACTAATGTGACCTAAGGAAAAAGAAACTAAGTCTGTCTATGAGGACTGAAGATCTCAACACCTAGATGCACCCCCTACCCCGATCCCAACCTCTGTCGCCAGAGTCTGTGGACACAGACAGCCCGGCAGACCCACCCTATGTATGGACCCCACCCCAGGGGTCTGTGTGCGGATACAAGGTTTTCGAAGCAGGTCCTTACTTCGCCCATACTTTGTCCTATCATGTGTCTCCGACTCAAGCTTGGAAAACATTTTTTTAATTCCAATGAATTTAGGGTTCTAGCAAACTAAGCTTTCCACTTTAGCATACTTCACACTTGACAGTTAAACAGGGGCAAACACTAGAAAATGTGCTTCATTATCGATCCTCAAGTGCATTTAAAACACTCCTCCCTCATTGTGGTCGTTATAAATGGCTCATCAGATTATCTGAATAAAAAGAGTATCTCCCAGAGAGATGCTGCTGTCTAATCCGCTCTCTTCTTCCGGCTACCCGTCAGCAAGGGAATTAGGAGTGGTGGGAGGGCAGTGTAAGAGTGGGGGGACCTCTCCAAAGGACCCTACTGACAACTGACGAGACTCAAGGAGAGTCAAGGACACGATGCAGGTGACGGAAAGATGGGTCCTGCTTCTATAACCGCTCAGCAAACTGGCACTGTGTTGTCACTCCTCAGAGGGAAGAATTCCAGAACTGTCTATCAGTGGACAACTTGTACCCAACAGCCAACACTGAACGTGGTGCCCCAAGACCAGAGCAGCAGACACCGTCCTAGTGAGCCCGGGCTGCCATGACGACCACAGACAGGGGTTGGGGGAGCTGCAACCACACATGTTCCTGCCTCATGGTTCTGGGGGCTGGAAGTCCAAGATCAGGGTGCCAGCATGGCTGGTTCCTGGTGAGAAACCTCTTCCTGGCTTGCGGACAGCCACCTTCTTGCTGTGACCTCACGTGACAGAGGGAGAGAGCTCAAGAGCTCTGGTGTTTCTTCCTCTTCTTATAAGGCCATCATCCTATCAGGACCCCGCCTTCATGACCTCGCTTAACCTTAATTACCTCCTCATGGGCTGCATCTCCAAGTACCATCACATTTGGAGAATTAGGGCTTCAACATATGGAATTTGGGGAGACACAAACATTTAGTCCATAACATATATGAACCAAGAACAAGGGATCCAAGAGCAGAAGTCCTGAGTTTTCTACTTGACCAGGGCCCATGTCATAGCCAGGGCTCCTTCACAAAATACAAAACGTGACAAGGAGAAACAGGCAAGATGCTGGATCAGGGCACGTAGATGCTTCCTCTCTGTCAACACTGGCCTTCCCAGAAGGTGCCCCCACTGCCAGCTCTGCACGATGGGCCAGCGGTCCTGTAAGTCCTGCACCGTCATGCCCTCAATCATGGTGGTTTACAGACTGGAAGGCTTAGAGGAGGCTGGTGAGTGGGCAGAGGCCTTCTGCGGAGCCATGGGCCACCCTCATCCCCACACAGCTGGCAGGAGAAAATCCTCCCAGACTGCAGAGTGGAGACCACTTGCTGCTGCCTCGAGCCCCACACGCTGCTTTAACTACTGACCAGAGGACCTGCGCGGCCTTACCAGATGGTCACAGGCTGGCTGGAACGCGTTGGTCCCGCACACGTAAAGGGCACTGGTGCTGAGGGGCTGCAGCACTCGGATGTAGTTAAGGCATTCTGTCTACAAGGAAGAGAAACGCACGGGTCAGCCACCGTGCAGGCTCCACCGGACGCCCTCCATGATCGCAGCTGTCCAGCCTGCTCGCTGCAGAGCATGAACCAGCCAAGCACACGCCCGACAGCAGCTCCTCAAAGCTCACTGATGACCAACCCGACTGTGAATTCACTGCCACCCTTCCACCTCGGGCCTCAGGTGCCATCCATCTGCACAGGCCAGCCATGCCCTGCCTGGCACGGTGGGAACAGGCTCCCGGAGACCCGGCTCCACCCCTGCACAAACCTAAATCTGCAGCTGGCCAGAGCGCTTCTGCCTCTGCAGGGTCCACAGGCCGCTGTCAAGTGCCAAACAGATTTCACCTCAGTCACTGATTTATACTCAGCAAAAGTGTATCAGCCAAAAAGCAATGAAAGCTGACCTCAAACCTTACTGGACACCCGGCACAGGGAAACACGCATTCACTCTCACTGAACACACAGACCATCCATTGTGTTGGCAGGCCCGAGAGGGTGTGTGCTGTGCAGAGTTCCCTCTACCTTCCCTTTCTCTGGGGGGCCCCACCCTCGACACCTCAATGTGTGCAACTGGAAGCAGTGCTTCTCAGGAGATGGGTGTGTCCGGCCCGCCTAGCTCAGGGGAGAGGCAGGACTAATGAGGGGCTCCGAGCCCAGCTCCACATCAGAAAGGCCCCGCAGGAAAACCAGATGCCACTGAAGAACCCACCCACTATTTTAGGCTGAAATGTACTTGGATTATATGTGCTAGCATCTGAAATTATCTCCACTCGGGAAAGGTTGTTTTTTTTTTTTTGCCGTGATTGTTTTGAAACTGGTTGGAAGTAATTCATTGTCCCTGAAAGAACTGGGAGGGACCCTTGTCCGCTGTATGGCCTCCACGTGGGGCTGGCCAAAGTGCCTGTTCTAATTTAGCTCTAAGACAACTCCCTGCGACACCTGTTATTACATTGCAATGCCTGCATTTTCCCTCATTTTGAATTCAGTGACTTTGGTGAAAGTGTTTAGTACTTTGCTAAAAAAGTTTAGCCAAAACATTTTTTCTGTTTTTGGTTTTTTTTATTTTAATTGCTTTGAAATTAGCCAAAAACTACTGAAATTGACTATAACTCAGCTGTCTTAACCAACTACCAAGGAAGACGGGGCGCTTGTACTCCAAGACTCCGACATCGGTCCAGCACCAGTTAGGGGCAGGGTAGCCCAGGTGGGTGGTAGCCATAACCCAGAGCTCTGGAGGGAGATGGATGGACACTCAGCCCAGCGCTTCCCGGATGGCCACCACACTGAGATGCCCAGTATCTCCTAGCGAAGGAGGAGTATCTCAAGGCACAGATGCTGCCAACAATCCAGAAATCCTACAGCAACCCCTCCAGGCCACTGGGGCTCAGGGAAGGCATGAACCCTGCACTGTACACCTTTAGGCCAGCAGGCACCCGATAGCGTTTTCTGTAGTCAAAGTTTCAGGCCATTTGAATAAATTCAATTCAGATGAACTTTAAAGTAATTTTCTAAAGCCTAGTATGTTTGGCACTTGCACTGAGAGCCCCAGGCTCGCCACTTGGGAACAGGGAGGTAACCTGCAGGATGAGTCGCGATGACGTAAGCAAGCCTGGCAGCATCCTGAGGGCGGGGCAACCTGCCTGCGCTGCACCACAGAGGTCGGGGCGCTCGGGAGAGTCAAACAAGTAAGACAGGCCTGGGTGGGCTCTGAAGCTTGCAAAAGAAATTACCTGTTTTGATTTCCCCTTTTCCGCGCATTTTGCTTTTTTATCTTCCGAGACCTTCCAATACGCCTGTGAGGAAAAACGAGAGTCCATTTCAGTGCACGTTCCCCCTTTAGAAGGAGATACTGGTATAAAAAACATACAGTTTACAAAGCACATGGTGGTGTTTAGAGCACAGGTATTTCCCAAGACATAAATATCTCAGATTGCAAAGCGAGGCTGAGAGAGCAGACGCTGGGACCCGTGAGCAACGGGGCTTCGTGAAAGTTCTGTGATCCTCATGCTGCAGCCAGGGGGCCTGGAAGGCGGCTCCCAGATGACTGCTATTCACTGAAAAAAAACTGCAAAAACTAAATGACTGAAAGTGGGGAGGATTCAATTACTTATCGAAAAAATAAACTGCAGGCATTTTCTTTTCTTTTTTTTTCTTTGGTCGCGCTGCGTGGCATGCGGAATTTTAGTTCCCCGACTAGGGATTGAACCCATGCCCCCGGCAGTGGAAGTGCAGAATCCTAACCACGGCACTGCCAGGGAATTCCCTAAACTGCAGGCATTTTCAAACATCAAGTGGGTTTTCTCATCCCTTCAAAACTGATTCTCGAGTCTAGTAAAATGTCTTGACGTTTACTTTATCAGTGGGACAGCAGGGTTATGATGCTTTAAATTTTATGTGACGGTAGCAGGTGAAAGTGATGAAGCCACGGGGCTCCCTCAGGTCAGATGTCTTCCCTCTGAGATCTGTGCTCCTGCTTCTTCCACACCAGGTGGACGAGCCAGGCTGGCAGATGCCTCAGCCCCGTACCCTCCAGAGGACGGGGAGCAACAGCGCTGCACCACAGAAGGCTCCCACGCTCCTGCCTCACTGTCCCCAAGATGCCCCATCTGCCCGTGTGATATTCCAGGATTGATGCCAAAATATATTTCCTCCCAGAGAATCAAAGCTGGCCGTCGGGCACTCAGAGGTCAGGAAGCACACGGTGCTTTGCCATGGCAGTGAAGTGAATCCCCTAGCAATGTGTTTTCAGGGAAATGGAAGTGCTAATCAGGACACATGAAAGCAGAACAAAGTCCCATTTCCCATAGCAACTTCCTTTAGAAATTAAAATGTAGACAATTTCATCATTATCTACAGGCAGTGCATAAGGACACAGGAGCATGAACTCTGACAGGCCCTTGATCATGGCGTTTTCACTGCAGCTTGGCTGTAGTCCTTTCACTTTTTTTCCCTCTTTTACGTCTACAGAGCCTAAAGCCTCTCAGTTAGTGATCCACAGTGATGGCATTAACAGAGCAACGGGGGCTCTGACTGAGCACCTGCAGGTTGGCACAAGCACACGGTGGAACCATGATGCTCCCAAGACGAGATTCTGAAAGGCAGTGTTAGCCCGAGTTGTTGGAAAGGAGAGTAAGGCTCAGAGGAAGGTGATTCAATGAACACAGGGACTAGGGCTGAGCAGGGCAGGCCCTTGGCATCCCTCTGCTCTAAGTGCCTACTGTTCCAAACACTTTATTTTCACGGGGTAATACCAGAATCTCATTTACGTGAAACAGAAATTAAGTACTATGCCTGACTCTGGAGACTAACACAAAATGAAACAAAAAAATAAGAGATCTGGGGCAGAAAAGACACAAGGTGAGCATGGGCTGGCTTGATTCCAGAGAACCAGAAAATTACACCAACCACTAGGGTGGTGTCTAAGGATTCAGGAGCAGAGGAAAGGCTGCCAGAGGCCAGGAGGGTACAGTCCGAGCATTGGCTACAATGGCTTGAGGCACTTCAAACACCTTTAAATCCACAAGTCACTGTCATACTAAAAAAACAAAAACAGTCCAAAAACCCACTGTCTCCCTTTGGGGAGAACTTACTCATTATTTGGAAAACTAGTAAATAAAGGCAAAGATTTCAAGCACTGATCCTGCCATGTCCAAAGGAACTGGCCTCGGGAGATGTGAATAGCTGGCAACGGGCATTTCCCCGTCACAGACGGTATTCCAGCTCACAGATAGAGAAGGAAAGGTAGAGGCGGGACGTCCCATTCTGCAACCCTTGACGTGCTCCAGACTGCGACAGTCAAGGGCCAGGAGGAGGACGACCTCCTGCCACGCTCCGGTGGAGGGTCCAGTCTCTCACAGGAGCCAGAGCGGGGCTGGGAGCCGGACAGGACCGCGAGTGGCTCTCCCAGCCAAGTAGACCCAGGGCGGCTCCTAGGAATGGAGACTCCACGACGGACAGAGTGCCTGGCCACACAGATGGCCTGAGTTCAACCCGATCAAAGTGAATAGTCAAACATCATTTATGAGGGAGTCCGTGAAATTTGAACACTATTCGATGAAATTAATTTGGGGGATGCAATAACGATAGTTTGGTTATTTTGAAAAGAGGAGTCCCTTCCTTTAGGAGATGCTCAGGGAAACATGTGCAGATGAAGAACATGTGTTTGGGATTTGCAAAGCCTCCCAGAGGGAGCAGAGGAGAAAGACGTGGATGGGAGGATGGGGGTGAACCCCCGGCCTGCGGGAGCCTTAACGGGTACAGGGTTCATCATATCACTCCCTCTGCTCCCGTGTGTGCCTGAGATTTTCCGTAATAAAATGTTCAAAATTCCAAGATAAAAAGAGGGTGACCCCTGGGTGAACTGCCAGCCTGGGGAGGACAGAGGCTGCCAGGGGACACCCTGAGATAGGGCTTGGGAGACACAGGGCGGGAAAGAAGCTTCAGGATGACAGGGCCCTCAGCCCTGGTGGACAGGAAGGCTGCTCCCTAGACGCACAGGACGTCCGTGGGGCTGGCCACTGGGGTAAGCAGGCTCCACAGCCAAGAGAGGGCCCGACACCCCAGGAGGAGGCCGGTGTGTGGATCTGAGGAGAAAACACTGGAAAGGTTGTGTGTGGCCCAGACAGCAGGGGAGCAGGGAGCCCACACCATACCTCATGTTGCTTCTTGGAGATATTGTGTGCGTTCAAGGCAAACACGGCTTCCCGGGCGCCCACGTACAAGGTGTCCTTGTCCTCACTCAGCAGCAAGGCCGAGTAGTTGAAGATACCCGGCTCGTGAAACTGCACCAGCTGCACCTCTGGGGAGGGCGGGGTGGGGGGAGAACGTATTAGGTATTTCTGAGCTTGGACACACCCTGAGCATCTGGTCTCCTTTTAGTGCGTGGCTGTCTCACTAGGGCCATGCATGGGTCTGCTGCCACAGTGGACAGGCCCCAGCCAAGGCCAGAACTCAGGCACCTTTGGGTGGAGGCTGCCACCAAGTGTGAGGCCCCAGAGCCACTGTGCTCTACCAGTGCTGTGGCCTGATTTCCGTCCTGCTCCTCTCCCTCCAGCCCAGCTGAGTTCCAAACCCGGCAGTGTGACCTCCTAGGAACATGACCTTCAGGCAGCGTGACCTCTTCGCAGTGTAACCTTGTGACCTCCCAGGAGACTGCAGGCCAGACACCTTAAACTGCTGACCACTGTGGTTCCCTCTCCCTCCCATCAAACTCTTGTCTATGTGTATTTAATCATCCACAAGTGAGGTTTATAGAGAATATAACTATTTAGGATTTTCTTATTCAGACAAAAATCATTTACCTCAAAGCCTTTAAAAAAATCTATTTCAGTGATTACACCCCTTAACCCAAGCATTTTCCAAGGATATAACCACCACAAACTTAAAAAGCAGAGAAACAAATGACTTTTTCACTTATTTGGTAATTGCATCAATAGCTATTTAGGAATATGAGGAATTTAAGGATGAGCTATTTAGGAGTAATATAAATGTATTGACACTATTTCTTAAGGAGCTATTTCTTATTCTTGACTATCCCAGAGTCAATTTTAAACTTGGCTTTCCATCTGTCACCAAGCTCTGATTTTATTGAAGGGTTAGGTGGTCACACTTCTGCTCTTCTAATTTCCCACTGTTGAAGAAAGATGCACACAGGATAGAGGCTCTCCCAGCACACACACTGCCTGGAATTCTGCACAAGACAGCTCCAGCCCTGCCAGCACACCTCGCTCAGGACCACTGAGCCTGAAAGACTGGAGCGGATGGTTCCTAAGACACAGCTCCCAAAAGAGGAAATAAACAAAAGAGAAACTAATAAATAGCAAATGAAAACAACGGGCCTGAAGCTCAGCTACACATAATTAAATATCCTCAAAATATTGATACTACTTGGTGTGGTTTGTGCTCAGGCAGTGCGCACCAAACGTCATCAGGCACAAGGAAGATAAACATCCTTCCAGGGCCCCCCCCACCCCGGCCCGATTTAGAAGCCAAATCAGCAGGCCAAGAACAAGCCCTGCAAGTGTTTCCAGTTATCGGACCATCTCCCCAGAAGCAGCGGTGCAGGCCGTCTGCCCACACGCAAGTGCCAGGAGGCCAGACCCAGCAGAGCAAAGGGCATCTGTGCATCTCAACACCACGAGCAGGAAGCAGGGTGGCCATTCCCTTCAGATGCCACCAGCGCCTGACATGGTTCTGCCCTCACCTCTGTGCTCCCAGGTGATCCTAGGTATGGGTGCAAACGCCACCGCTGTCCCAAACACCACGGCGAGGGTGGTGAGCAGCCCCCCGACGGGGGCGCACATCCTCATCGGCTGTGGCTGCAGTGGGGACTTCAGCAGCAAATGCCCACGGGCAGGCGAGCCCACGGTGGGTGTCAGGGTGGTCGCTGCTCAGAGCTGCAGGGCAGCCTGGAGCTGGTGGGTGGCGCAAGCCCTGAGGCCCCACATTTCTCAGCACTCTGGGTAAGGTCAAGCTGCTCTCACCACTGCAAATGTCAAAGGCCACCTGGTTCTTAAACAGCGTGCTTTTCTACGGCCCTCTGAAGAAATCCTGGAAGAAAGTGAAAAGGAAGGGTTGCGAGTCAGGATGTGTCATAATAACGCCTGCTTTCTGTTTGCTCAATATCCCCCCATGGCTCTGCTCTCACCACATCCCCAGCCACGGACTCTGTCTGCTGAGGAGAAGAGAGGGCTTCCTGTGGGGACAGCCCCACACAGACACTGCATCCCAGAGTTACAGGAGCCAGGGTTTCCTGGTCCTCAGGTGAGCCCGGAACGCAGGACAGACACAGGGACCCAGACCAGGGAGACAAATGCCTGCCTGGCTGCCCAGCTTCCTCCCTGTGTGGGCACTGTGTCCAGATGGTAATGCGATGGGAAGGTAGGGAACGGAAACGGGGTTTCAGTTTCCCTCAGAGACTCTGGCTTCCCAATTCCTGTAATACTCATCGAGGACGACAGCCAGAACTAAAGACCGGAGAGCTGCGTGGAGGCTGAAATGTGAGAGTACACACACAGACACACAGGCGTATGTGCAAGCACACACGTATGCACGCATACAGATATGCATGCCTACAGATGCACATGCATACAGACACACACACATGCACGCACGCATGTACTGGTCGTGCAGGAGTAGCTGACCTCCTGCAGGGGACAGGGCCACCCCGATGGCCTCGCTCCTCCAGCCTCACCGCAAAAGTCGGCATGTCATGGAAACTGGTCATGGCCTCTGATCTGTCACCGAGACGAAGCACCTCATGGAAAGAACAGGCCTGTGCTGCACAGAGAAACTGGGGGGCTGGGGGTCCTCAGATCTCCTGGCACCCATGCTCTGCCCCTGCCCCACGACTGCCTGGAGTCCCGGCCTGCCGCCTGCTCAGCCCCGTGCACTATCTGCAAGGGTCCCTGCGGGGAGCTGCAGGGCAGCCCTGCTCCACATCAATGAATTGGGCCGATTAGGGTTTGCCCCTGACCCAAGGCCCCACCAGGATGCCAGTGAGACTGTGAGATGGGCTTGTTCCCGCCTTCTCAGGGGGAGGTTAAAGCAAAACGTCAGCCTGAACAGAGGCAGGACGCTTGCCAACCACATCTGGGGAATACAATTAAGCTACAGCAGAACCTCTGCACTTTTGCAGATGTGCTGCCCTGTGGGGCCCACACGGAATCCAAGGGCATGCAACCTGCTCCTCAACTGAGTACCCTCTGCTGCAAAATGGTGAAGCAGCTGCCTCCCCGACACCCCTCTCCCCTCCCCCACAGGCCCTGGGAGTCAGCCATGCTCACATCCTCCTCTGCCTTCCACTCCCACCAAGCCAACCCCCCTCCAGGTCTACCAGTCCTACTGACACCCCCAGGTCCTCCCTCTCTAGAACCTTCCCCTGCACCCACCACCACTGTCAGCATCCTGACCACCATCCCTCAGGACGCCTGAGGGGCAGCCAGCTCCCTTACTCCCTCTCCAACCATCCTCTCCCAGCTCCGTCTCCCTGGGGACCCCACAATTTGCCACAGGGCAGCACCTGTGCAGCCACCTGCCCTGCTGCCCTCTGACACATCAGTCCAAACCAAACCTCCCAAGAGGGTTTGGGGAGAAGGTCCGGCTTCCTGCTTACCTGGTTAAGTCACTGCCTCCAGGGAGCCCTCCCTGCTCCTTTCTATTGTGCCTGGGAAGTCACCTCTCACACCCTGGTGTCCTTCTCTGGCCCCCAAAGCCTAGCAGGGAGCACGGCTCACCCTCCACAGTGCTCTGGGGTCTTTTCATTTTATTTATTTATTTATGTACACGTACGGGCCACTACCACCCCCGCTCCCCTTCACAAAGGAAGGACTCATGGAGGACTTTCACGGTGACCACTTGCCACTGGGGAGATGCTGGGCAAGGGCCAGACACCAGGGGCCAAGCCTCATCTGCCCGCCCACCTTCCCTGCTCAGGCACCCACTCTGCACCTCCTCCCCCGAGCCCGAAGGCTGCCTGGCAGGGCTCCCCATCCACCCAGGATCTGTTCTCCATCCCAACACGCCTATTGGCCGGTGAAGTCAGGGGGCACACTGAGCCCACCTTTTCCTCCAGGGACTGGCCCATCCTGGGTGGAGACTGGCACCTCTTTCCGACAAAGGGCCGGATGGGCATTATTTTCAGCTTTTTGATTCCTAGAGCCTCTGTCCCAGCTACTCGAGCCCAGCATCGTAGCTCAAAAGCAACCACAGATGACGTGTGAATGGATGAGCATGGCCGTTTGCCAACATAACTATTTACAGGATGGGCACTGGGCTGCAGGCCAAGCCCTGCGCTGGGGTCCCAGGGGGATGGCCAGCCCAGACACCCAGTGGCAAAGGCACGATCCATGCTAAACACAACACCGGATGCACCAGGAGGCCAAGGAGGCTGGGAGGGGAAGAAGAGAGAGAGCTGCCTCATGGGGTAGCTGTGAGTGCTCACCCTCTGCGGAGCCAGCTCTTAGAGGCACCCACCGTGTGGGTCACCGTCACCCTCGGCCAGGGCCCTGGTGGGGACTCTGCTCTCCTGCCCTTAGCAGGGAAGTGAGGTACAAGGTGGCTCCAGAAACCCAGGCCAGGCGAGGTGTTCCCGATGTGACCCACTCAGCAAGCAACCCCGGAGTGTCCAGTGAACACTAAATACACCGCAGCAATCCTACACAGCCACAGGACGCCCAGGCCCTGGCGAGGGCTCTTTGCGTGGATGATGCTACTGGCTCGGGGTGCACCAGACACCCGCCTAGCTCGTTCCTGGGTCCATTTCCGCCACTACCAGTCTAATCGAAGCCGTGCCCACCCCACCCCACCCCCGATCCTGACCTCTCCACAGCCTCCCACCCCTTTACCCTGCTTCCGTTCTTGCCGCCTGGGGTAGAGATTGCTAGCTTCCTGTCCCAGCATCCACATCCCTTCATTCTCACTAACAGAATCTTGATTTTACCTAAGATGGCAGTGTGGCCAGCTAACCATGTCTCCCAGCTCCCCTGGTGGCAGTTCTGGCCAAAGAACTGTGGACAGAAGTTATTAGGTAGGAATTCCAGGAAAGCTCTCTAAAGGAGGCTGACTCAGCTAGTGTTGGCATTTTTTTTTTTTTTTTTTTTTTTCGCCTTATTGTAATGGCTAGAAACACCAGTACAGTGTTGAATATAAGTTGTGAAAGTGGGCATTTTTGCTTTTTTCTTGCTCTTAGGATGAAGGCCTTTAATATTTCACCATGACATTAGCTCTAGTTCTTTTGTATTTGCCCTTAATCAGGTTTAGGAGGTAATTTGAGCACTTTGAATATGTCATTCCATTGTCAGTTGGCTTGCATTTTTTTTTTTTTTTTTGTCTTCAGCCTTTCTTCCTTTTGCTGCCTGGAACTCAAATTTGATGTCTGGAGCACTGCCAGCCACCTTGTGAACATGAAGATAAGAGTCTCCTTCTGAGAACAGCCAAGTGGAAATCCAGAAGAACTGGGGATCCTCACAACATACTGGAGACTTTACACCTGCTTTCTTCTGCCTACCTCTAGACTTGATAATAAACTATTAATCTCTTTAAATTACTGTTTTTTTCAGATCTTTGTTACCAGTAGTCAGATACAATTCCAAACAGATACAACCTCCCTGTGACACATTTACCAAACAGCAGCAGCAGACAGAATAATGTTTTTAATGTAAATCAGAGCATATCATTTCCCTACGTGAAACATTTCCCACTCAGATTAAACCCAAGCACACAACCTTGGCTGACCTTCTATCCAGCCTCTCCTGTTTCATGTTCCCTCCACCTTCCTATCCCAGCCATTTCTGGACCTGCGGAGCCTGGCCAATCTGCTAGGCCGTCTTCCCACTGCTTGGCAAAGCAATTCAGAACATTTCCAAATGTGTCTGTACCAGAGATCACGTGTGTAAATCCCACGGCACAGTCTCATTAATTTACCAGAGAAGACTTTCTCTCTGTATGTTTGATCAGTGACTGGCAGTGCCTCCCCAAAGCTTCTCTGCTCCGAGCTCCCAAACAGGTAAGGTTTCTAGGAATGCTCCAAATCAGGGCAGGGAGAAGCTCAGTGGCTGCTGGGGTCAGAGCAGAGTGAGGGGTGAACAGGCAGAGCTCAGAGGATTTCTACCACTCTGGAGTGAGACGTTGATGTGGAGGAGGGGAAAAGATATATGGAAACCCTATGTACTTTCTGCTCAATGTCACTATGACCCTAAAACTGCTCTCAAATACAAAGTTTATTTAAAAAACCCCACCACACACCAGCCCAGAGAGGTCTTTCCTGAGCACAAAAGGAGCATCTGTGAGGCCCTGTCCCAGAGTGGCCACAGCCTGGGGTGCCCTTCTGGCTGCGGGGCACAGATGTGAGGCCCACTGGGATGTTTCATTTCCCCTCAAACATCAGCATGGAGCCCGGTCTCTGTTGGAGGGAAATGGTTTGCAAGCATCCAATGGCAAGAACAAATTCCTACTTTGGTCGCTGACAGAAGTCACTCCTCTGGGACATCTCATGACACGCACTGCAACCAGGCTTAGAACCCAGATGTAAGAGATGGGAGAATCCCTCTTTGGAAACTGGTGCCCAGAACACAGAGATTTATCACAACTCCCTCCTCATACCCAGTAAAATTCTGACACCCTAAAAGGACATAAACCCATATGGATAAAAATGGGGAGAGGGTGATAGCCCATGCGGACGTTAACAAACCTGGGAAACTAGAAAGAAAACAGGTGAGCAAAAGCAGTGGTGTACTGGCAAACCTTAACAACTGGCTCTCCAAGGGGGCAGGGTGCCCTGCTTTGTAGTGTATGCCGATCCCTGGGGTGC